CTCTCTCTCTTCTTCCTGGCCGTCACTTGGCCCTGTGAATAGGAGCGTCTGGTTCATTTACAGGTACCTGCCATGGTTTTTTATACCTCCCCCCATACCATTCCCTCCCTCTCTCTCTTGCTCTGCTCTCTCCCTTCAGTTGCCGGGGAGCTGGGGGGGGGGGGGGGTATTGATGCATGCATGTGGACATCATGGATGGCCAGGAAGGATCGATTAGATAGACAGATGTTGCAACGCATGCTTGGAAGGTGGATGTGTTTGATTTAGTGTTTCAGTGTGTGTGAGAGAGAGAGAGAGAGAGTGTGTGTATGTGTGTGTGTCGTATGTGTGTGAAGACGGACGAAGGCTGCTGCTGCTGCACAGCCTGGTGTATGAGCTGTGCAGCTGTTCTGTGGTTCGCTGTTTGAACATGTGTGCGTGTGTGCGTGAGGGGTTTCTGTTTCTCTCTGCTTTGAATCGCTCTCTGGACAAACGTCCTCGAGCAATGCTGCACTGGCACAAGACACGCTTGCTGCTTTTCCTGATGTGCGGAGTGATTGCATGTTTGTTGGTGTCCACGCATGCCTGTGTGTGTGTGTGTGTGTGTGTGTGTGTGTGTGTGTGTGTGTGTGTGTGTGTGTGTGTGTGTGTGTGTGTGTGTCAGTGTGTGCATGGATGGTGTGTTTGATGTTGTCCACCAACATTTGAGATCCCTCTGTTGGCTGGTTAATTGCATGTGTTCTTGTGTCATGCATTATATGTAGCATGCTTGTGTATGTTTACCTGCGTATGTGCGCGCGTGTGTGTGTGTCTGATAGAGAGAGAGAGAGAGAGAGAGAGAGAGAGAGTGGGTAAGAGAGAGAAGTAGGGAGACTGCCGAAAATTTTGAAACAGTGTTGGGGGGGGGGAGTTTTAACGATGCAGCATGCATGACAAGTTCCAGCTACCTTCTGACATCTCTATGGAAGCCTGCATGGTCAAACCTCTATAAAACCTTGAATACATAAGCAGTATGAGACACACTATGTGCTGTGCTGGATAGTCCAGCTCAGCTACTTATGACAGCACTTGTTAACTAACTAATTGTGCAGGAAACAATGATGTTGCAATGTGAGAGACTCTGCAGATCTGGACCTGCTCGTCTTTGTCATTTGGATGATGGAGCAGCACAAAGAGCAAAACGAATGGTGTGTTCAGCTGCTCAACTTTCAAAGTTTCAAAATGGATCACAAGAGAACAGCTCTTAGAGCACCCCAAAAAGTGAAAGTGAAGTGAGGGAAAGTGAAATGATTACCACATTTTCCCCATTTCAGCTTTTAGCCGATTGCTAGCTTAGGCACTATGCGATATCAGGCTATTTCGTACCTGATTTTTTTTTTTTTTTTTACTTCCACAGATGAATTTCTTGAACGTTTGAAAATTTGGTCGTACAACTGCGTACACTTGCACTGTGAGAGCAGAGCCATGAGCCGTTTCCCCAACTCCAGGGCTCTTCTGATTCTGTCGTGCAAACTGGCAGACAGCGTTTGAAAGAACCATGGCAGCAGCAGACATGCCTGTTTGATGTGGTATCCCCTCTTATCAGGAAAGATGTGAACAGAAACGTTGGCAGGAACTGGCTGCAGAGCTGCAGCTGCCAGTGAATAGACTATAGGGTTAGCTTGCAAGGTAGCTTGTTGGGGATACTGTGTGTGTGTATCTCTCTTTTATTGACAGTCTATGGTATCTGTGCATGTGAGAACGCCTTCTTGTCGATGTTCGTACTTGAGACAATAGAGATGCACATAGATCTCCGACGGCGTGGAATCTCCTGCAGGATGATCTGTGTCTGGGGGAGCTAGTCTCTTTAAATCATTCTCAAAGTAGATTGAAGGTGTGTGAGGAAGATGCTTCAGTTTGTAGATGCTTTGACTGACGACTTTGTGCTCTGTGACTCAGGACATGTTAAACTGTGTTTGTAATGACTCTGTGTCTTATGTCTGTAACTCTTTGTTGTGCTGCTGCCCCTCTTGGCCAGGACACTCTTGCGAATGAGATTCTTAATCTCAATGAGGTTCTCCTGGTTAAATACATTTAAATAAATGAATAAATCAAATCTGATTTCAACAACCATCTTTGGGAGAAAGAAACTTTTTTTGACAATTGCAATGTGTCCATCCCAGTTCAACATGCAGCGTGAGCACCCTGATTCTGCATGACAACCGGACTGTTCAGTGTGAGCACATATATCATGAGCTTTGTTTGTGTATTGTAAACTATTAATGCAGTGTGAGACGACATTCCACAACAGCATTAATGCAATAGCACAGTGTATGCCTTGCATCAAACTTTATCTGACTGCATGGTGTAAAAACATGGATTTATACGAAAGTATCGTTTGTTTAATGTGCACACAAATTCGGTCCTTAAGCAGATCAACCCCCCCCCCCCCCCCGCTGTAAACTAAACTGAGATATAGAAAATGATGCTAAAAAGTTGATGATGTCCTTCAAGACAGTGAAGCATAGGTTAGTTATAGATGCTGGTAGGATGAGAAGTTGAGGGGTGGTTTGATCCCTGTTTGGGTGGTTTGATCCCTGTTTGGATACAAACATGAGTGGATAGAAAAGAACATAAACATGACAGCTATGATCTGACACATCTCCCAATGAAAACGCTGTGGAGCAGTTTCCATAATTATTCGTTCACACCAGGGATGACTTTTGCAAGTGTCACTTTGTTCTCGAGGTTGCTGCGATCGCTGTGCAAAAGGCTCTGGATGCATCTTAAGTTCAAATCAAGCACGTTCTGCTTTGTCTGCATTGATATGAACGCTCGTGATGTTTTGTCACTCTGAATAGTCAAATGTTTCAGCTTCATATGTTTCCATGATTTATAATTCTATATATTTTTGTGTATATGTCCTGTGCTTTGTAATTGAATTATTGTTTGTCATTCGGAGACGTGCAGATTGTTAAGAGCGCCTGCAATCAGAGAGTTTGTCTGCCATTTGATGTGACAAATCTGCATTTATATAAAGTCATGTTTTCCTTCAATATTCACCTGACCAAGACTTAAAGTGGTATTACAACGTTTCTGATAAGAAGATATTTGTGTGGCATGGAGTAAGTGTGTGGGTTTGTTAGTTTTCCTATCTGTCGTTGTTTTGGCTGCGTGCGCCTTTGTGAGAAGTGAGAAGAACTCCCCTTCTTAGATATGGCATGTTACCAGGCACTGTTTCTATCTATCTTCTATCTAAATTACTATCTTGATATCTATATTCGCTCCAGAATGGATGTAGGAGTTCTTAAGAGTGTTGCTTTAAGTGTGTAATCATGCAGCCCCCTCAAACAAGATTGGGAAAAAAAACTTGCTGCAGTAATCCGTTATGTTTACGCCGGGAAGAACGACTTTCTATAAAACTAAACATCAATGAGGACAAAAGACGTCTAATGAAAAAGAAGTGTGGCATGTACGTTGCCTGAACACGTGGTAGAAATCCGTGTGGTGAATTGTTGCTTATGCAGGGGGAATGTGACGTGTGTGTTTGCATGTTTAAAACACTTGCTTTACTCCCAGTCGTTACACATTTTTCACCACTCAGTCTGACTTTCAGATTTGTGTGATGTGTTCGTACAGTATGTGCTCCTTTATTCACTCGGCCCGTCGCGGCATTTGAGGTCCGGCCTGGGTGGCAGAGCGGCACAGAAGAGGACAAGAATAACAAAGAGACCGAGCCTTGGCAGAGACAGAGAGCCTCACACAGCTGCCGAGAGTATCATGCACTCAATAGGCTGAATGAAAAAGCTCATTAGGGGGGAATGTGTTTAGAGAAAATTGGGAAGAAGTTTGGAGAACAAGGGAAGGAAGCCAGTATAGAGATGGGTATGGAGGGGCCATCAGGATGGAAAATAAAAAAAAAAGAAGAAAGCTGGGGAAAAGAGAAACAGAGAGGAACGAACAGATGGAGTGGGTTGGGACTATTTTGGTGCACGATGGGATCATCAGCATGTGGTTACAGTATGTTACGGCTGACACTGTATATATCCACCTCTCTGACTCACTGACTGACTTAATAACTCCCAGGATGTCCTTTCCATTCATAACACGGGAGTCCAACAGGCCAAGCATCTATGTTAGTGACATGTCTGACCTCTCATGCAAGTCCAAGTGAAGCCTCTTCTCATGTTCTTAGTCAACACGCCTGAAAATTTAGCTTTTTTTTTTTTTTTTAAATCGCACCCTCGAGCGTTTAAAGGAACGAGGGCCTGTGCATGTTGGTTTTTACACAATAAGTTTGAAAAAAAGATTATTCAAATTGTTGGAAGTTTAACATCGTCATCCAATGAAGTCTGTCATTTGCTTTAATGCGATCTTTAAGTAGATCACATTAAACTCAATTACAATCTATTTAACTTGCTTTAGTATCAGCAACTTAAAAGGTAAATTACACAATTAGCATTAAAAAAAAACGACACTTCATCAGTAAACCATTATATCAAACTTTACTTCAGTTGATTAGAAATATGCAGCAGCAGAAATGGTTGTAAAGTATATACAATAATTTGATGTATTAAGTTGTCTTTCCCGTCAGTTTGTACAGAATGTACAGAAATGATACATTCCTATATTAGCTCCGCCTGTGAGCATGCAGCGTCTGTTACTGTTGTTCCATTACATTGCTCGGCTCTGGTCTAAACCTGCGTCTAGTTTTAGCTGTTGCTCAGGCAACAAGCAGCGCCATCATACTGTATATAGCTTCTTTTTTTTCTTCACTGATGTTCTGGTAGAAAGTAGCACTCGCTGTCAGAAACATACAGCATACATACAACAAGTGATCAGAGGTGGTTGTAGATCGACTGTGTGGAAACTTAAAGGCTGATTGTTGCATCTAAAACGTAACCTTTTTTTCTTTTTCCATTAACGCAACAGAGGGGGAATCCAGCCATGCTGGGATTTACTTCGCTCTTTGTCTGTTGTCTTTCTTGTGTCATGTCTTACTCTCTCTCTTCGTTTGTCCCTCTCTGCATCCTCTCCGTTAGTGACTACATAATCAAGGAGAAGTCGGTGCTCCTGCAGAAAAAAGACAGCGAGGGTTTTGGTTTTGTGCTGAGAGGGGCCAAAGGTAAAAAAAAAAAAAAAACATACACTCACTGATTTAAGTCTGCGTTCCCTAAAAACACCCAAACATGTTATTTGAAATGAAGCACCAATGCATTTTTTCTTTTTGTTTGCGTGGTGTCTCCAGCTCAGACTCCTATCGAGGAGTTCACACCCACCCCCGCGTTCCCCGCCCTGCAGTACCTGGAGTCAGTGGACGAGGGAGGCGTTGCCTGGAGAGCCGGTCTCAGGATGGGGGATTTCCTGATAGAAGTACTGTCATTATTTACTGCATTACTGCATAACTGCATAACTACTGCTGCATTGGGTTGTTTTTTTCTGTATAAAACGTTTAAGTTTACACTAGAACTGAACTTAAAAGTAATATCTCTGTGGTTAGGGGGTCAACTTATTTTTTGCAGGATATTTTGTTATTATGTTACTTTTTTCTACCTTCTTTAATTTTTCTGGAGGCTTTTGAAAAAATGTGCAATGTAGACCCACACTTAGAAAAAGCATTTAATCAGAAAAGCAAATCTTTAAAATGACGAGATGGATGACCTGCAGGGCAGCATGTTGTAAGGAACTTTTTAAAGCTTGTGCAACAGAGTCATCAGTTATTACGTGGAGACAATGTCATTGTGGCTAAATCACTTGCGGTTGTGATGTTTGCAGTAGCCCTGTGTGAATACGGCTTCAGATTTCAAATGAATGAAGAACTCAGAAAGTCTGTGTCCGTCTCCGTGTGTGCTTCAGGTCAACGGTCAGAACGTGGTGAAGGTCGGTCACCGACAGGTCGTCAACATGATTCGGCAAGGTGGCAACAGCCTCATGGTCAAAGTTGTCATGGTGACCCGCAACCCTGACATGGAGGAAGGTTCGAGGAAGAAAAGTAAGAGCCTGTTCCTGCACTTTTGGGTGAAATGATAGCGCTAGCTGAATCCTGCTGTTGAACAGTCTCATTTTCCACTTCTGCCTCTCTTTCCCCTCCCTCTCTCTCTCTCCAGTCCCCCAGCAGAGCAAGAGGCTGAGCACGCCGGCTATTGCACTACGATCCAAATCCATGACTTCTGAGCTGGAGGAGATGGGTAAGCAAACAGCTGAGATAAACTTTCTTGGAGATGAAAAGACAGTACCAAGAATAAAGAAACAGACAGACAGGACGATGTAGACCAATAAAGAGAGTGTGTTTTAAAGGAAAAGGAGAAAAAAAAGTAGGTAAATAGATTGAGGTGATGATAGAAACAGTGTGAAACCAGAGTGTTGGGGGTTGCTAAAGATGCTGAAAGTGTGATGGGGAGCTGAGCTACGGCTAAATTTAGACAGCAGGGAAGTTGAGAGGTAGATAGTGTAGTTACCCAGTGACAGAAAGGAGAAGAAAAGAAAGAGAAGAAGAAGATTGGCTCCCGCTCTGGATGACGGTCTCAATCCATTTCACTGTTCTTTCAGAGGTTCCACACTGTCACTTCCAGCACCCCCACTACAGGTAACCCCCCTCCCAGAAAAAGTGTCGCCATCCACTTTGTGATCCCCCCTCTCACTGCCCGCCCCTCTCCCCTCTTACCCCCCTGCAACCTCCACCGCTCCCTGGCCCCGCCCACAGCTTTAACCCCAGTGCCCACAGAGCGGTCCAGCCTCCCCTCTGCTCTACTTTCTCTCTCTCTCTCAAACACACACACACATAAAAACACACACACACAGTCTTGGAAAGTATTTGTTGCCAAGGTAACACTGCAGGGGGAATGGGCGTCACCTGAGAAGAGTTTTTCCAGTTGCCATAAACATCACAGAAAAGTGTTTCGGTCCTCGTGTGTTAGTTGCAGAACGTGTCCCTGTATTTATAGATATCATATGTTAAATACTGGATTCATTTGGATGAAAAAACACCAAAGATACAATTATTGAGATGAGTAATTTTTTTTAAAGAAAAAAAAACACACAACAACTTTGTTCCACGTCTGTTTCTATGGTAACAGCAATTATGTGTGTGGCTATGCTTATTCCAACTCTATTTGAGGCAAAATAGTGGGAGGAGAGTGCATGATGAGGGTCAACGCCCCCATTCGCAGATAAGAACATTGGAGAAGGTTTATTGTTGATGGAGTTCTTGCTTCTAAACATTTAAGGTGTTTGCTGGCGCTGTAGCTGTGGTCTTGTTATGATGCATGTCCAGTGAGGATTTGATGATGTATGGAGGCTGATGTGGAGATGCAGGAGGAGAGGGGATCTGCTGCTTAGTCAGGATCTTACTTAAGTGTATCCTGAGTGTAGGAATCAGACCTTTGCTTTATTCCTACCCTCATCTACTTCCCTCACCCGCTTTCTTTGTGTGGTGTGACCTCACCTGAGCAATACAAAGCATGAGCACCCAGTCTGAAACACAGGTACCAGCGTCCTGAACCTCCAACCCACCCCTCTTACTGCCACTGTTACTCTTTATAGACACTATTATCTAACCTTCAGCACTGTATGTCTGCAATGATACTGTGTGCGTTATCTCAATACATAGAGTAACACTGCAACTAACTTACTGCAGTATGTATACAAAACACAACATATTAAGCAGCCACCATAATGATGCAGACTAGAGCTAAATCAGCTCTTACCCTAATGCAGATGTATCATATGGGTGTACATGTGGGCAAATAATAAAAAGAAAGTTGGTGTATAGAAATGCCAAACTAAATTTGAGGTTATCGACATTGCAAAGTTTGTCCGTCAGTAATCTGACGCATTTATTTTTTTATTTTAAACTGAAAATGTCCCCTTAGCATGTTGCCTCTTTAAAAGGAAACTGGTTAGCTACATGGGGAATCATGTAAACAAGATACAGTACTTGATATTCCGGTGGACACGATAGAGAGCAGGTAAAGGAATACAGGAACTTTCATAATTCATAATTACAGAGAACACAAGACAAGGCTTAAGGAATATCAACATTTTCCTCATTATAAAATGAAGACAAAAAAAAAATTAACTTTACATCTGTTAAAACATTGTCAAAAACACAACTCAGGGATTTCTAAGAATTTCGCATCCAAGGTATAAATGAGCACTTTGACCTCACAAACTCCAGTTGTGAACACACTTAACATGAGCACATTTAAAGTCATAAAGGTAAAACATATCCAAGGGATCAATATTATTAGCTTACACCATGTGTTAAGAGTCACACAGTGGTATCATTATCAAAAGCATTGGTATATATACTTCTATATTCATAACACAATGATTATTTTTTATGAAATAATAACTTTGACTCAGTGTTAGAGTTTACCAATAAATATACCAGGTTCCTTAATATGTGGGTGCTTTATTTGCAGTCAGACATAAACTGGACTGTCTTTACTTTGGTCTGGTTCTGGATCAAGGAGAGAAAGAGCACAATGTGTGAGGAAGCCTCGTGTCAGGCTCGGCCATATGGTTATTCTAATGCACTCGAATTCATTTAGCTGTGACGCCTATTAAACTATCTCACCTCTGTGATTGGTGCAGTGTCCCAGTTCACCTAGAAGTCATGCTGCAAGATAACAAGGACTTTAAAACAGGAGAGGATTCTGCAGCGCACTTCACCGACATGGTTTGACAAAAAAAAAAAAAAAAAACAAGGCTTATTTTTCCAGAGGATTCTAGCAGTGAGGTTGTTAAAGAAAACCCCTTTCATGCTTGGTTTAAGCACCAGACATTGAAATTTAATTTGTGCTTAAACAAGCTCCACAAAATCAAATGTTGTGACTTTTACCTCTGTTCCCTGAAAGAGAGGAACTAGGTACAGCATACAGTATGAGATATCGCTATGTGGCCTTACGCAAGATTCCTCTTTTCACGCCTTAGTGGTTGTGAAGTTTGGAAAATATTGAACCTCTTTCCTCTCATTCATGGAACACAAATTACAGTCAAACCCTTTTTTTTCCCCCCTTCTCAGTTGATTTATGTGATACATCACATGCCGTATGTATTCATGCCCCACAGAGCAGCCACAAACCAGAGAATAAAATGCTCTACGTTAGCCACACTGAGCAGAAGCAGTGCCTAAAGCAAAGCGGGGCTGTTAGGCTAACTTCAAGCTGGCAGTAGCCTTAATGAAAAAGCAGAGTTAGCTAGCTTTAGCCGGAGCTCAGATCATCTCCCTTTGAGTCCTGAATAAAGGAGTCATCTGTCAGGCCATGAGGCGGGGATGTTTTCCCCACACTGTACATAATGTGTTGTATCAAGCGAATCGACTGGAAGGGAACTACACGTTTTAAGTATGGATGATAAACCTTCCCTTGTACAGTCCACACACGCAAGCTCACTCACTCAAACCAGTGGATGCAAACACTTGAAGGTCATGTTTAATTTCTTCCTCCTGTCACTCCCTTATGGCTGTCACCCCCTCCCCCCCCTCCTTTACTATTCACTGGTCCTAGTACTAACTCTGTCTCTTCTTTGTCTTCTTTGTCCTCACTTCACTGCTGCGGGATCTTAACCATTTTACAGTGGAACGAGGTGGGAGTCAGACTTATTCCTCATTTGTGTGTGTGTGCAGGGGTATTAAAGTGTGTCAGAGAGGGTAACAACCAGCAGCATACTGTGTGTGTGTGTGTGCAGCATATTCCCTGTAACATTAGTGTGCAGGCACTTCAGCCATCTCTAAGTATGTGTGTGATGTACGTCCTTTAGATCCAAACCTGTTGAGGTGACTCAGTTTGTCAGGCTCCAGAGAATATGATTAGTATTCACTGTAACAACACTATCGCACTTTCGCTCCTGCCAAAACTTAAGTCTCCTTTTGTCCTCCTTCCAGCTGCTACCCCTTGGAAAAAAAAATCAGGTATGCTCTGGTACACTCACACTGAAGGCTTTGTATTTATATCTGTCCAAAATGACTTGGCACTGACAGCTCCGTCCCCTCGTATTCTGAGTTTCTTTTTTCTTTTTAGAATTCGAATCCTCCCAAGTTACAGAGAAGAAGAGGACAGTCTATCAGATGGCTTTGAGTAAGGGAGCTCATGTTTGTCAGTGGATGTTTCCTGAATCTCTTCCTCCTCTCTTTCTCATCTACCTCCATCAAGTGTGTCCCTTTCCACGCGTTGTTTCCTTCATTCCCGTCGATGTCCATATTTCTGTTTTATTGCTGTGTCTCTCTCTTCCTCCGTCTTTCTGTCTCTTTCTCTCCTGTTTTTTCCTTTCTCTCAGATAAACTAGATGAAATTCTTGCAGCAGCTCAGCAGACAATCAGCACCAATGAGGCACCGGGGACACGGGGACAGGGGCCTAAAAGAGACAGGGGGCGGAGTTTCTATGGCAATGAGGTGCGTATTTTGAAACTCAAAGGATGTTTACATGTATCTGAGATAAGCCTGTTCCTGTACATGATTGGGTCGGGCATATGAAAGAGAAAATGCCCTGTCATGAAATCAAACTGTAGCAAGGAATATGTAATATAGATCTAAAAAAAAAAATTAATTTGAAACTTTCACTGGGCAGAATAAATGTAAAGTCCATTCATAATCAGAAAGCTTGAAAAGTTAAAGATCACTGCGACCTCTGTAGATGTACATATATAAAATGTAGCATGCATGTTTAGTTTGCCTGTTATATGCACATGAGCCAACATCAGTACAAAAAGAGAAGGCACTAACAGAATGTAAAGTCCAGTACATTTGCTGTGGTAGAACCCATTAAGTAACAAATTGTCCCTATTATCCGAAAGCCATTATTTTGGGGCTTCTGTGGTCTGAGTTGTTCAAGCAAGACTTCCTCTCTGGTCCTCTGGACTTTGCTTACAGTCGTGAGAGTAGAGTTGGAGTTTAGAGGCGACGTCTACAGCCACCAGATTGTTGTTTGCATTCATACAAAGCTAAGTTGTTGTCCAATGATAACAGATGGGTACTTGGATTACATTCTAGCCAATGCATTCCACCTCGTTTGCTCCCCACACTGAAGCATCCAAAGGCATTTGTGTAGCTCTCAAAAATCCGAAAACATTCTGCATTCACTGCAATCACTGAATAAGAATTTCTTACATGGTGATGTCAGGGTAATATTTGTTGTTTCTTATAAAAGCATTAATATGCATAAAATGTTGCTAGTTGAACAACCAATCAGTACTAGTGCATCAGCTTTACAATCAGGGATATTGGCAATTAGAATATGATTTCAATCTTTCAGTCTTGACACCTGCATTGTACTTTTAATTCTCATGGCTCTCTCCTTTATCTTTTCACGTGCTCATTTTCCCAATTTCAGACAAACTATGGGGATCAGTCCGGGATGGGGATGATGTCATCTGGGCTGGGCCTCGGCTATGACCGTAGCCAGTACACCTCAGGTCACGCCCCTCCGCACGGTATGCTGCGGCAGAAATCCATCGGTGAGGCTGTCTGTTTTTACTGTCTGCCACTCCGTCCGCCTGTCTGTCTGTCCTCTCTGCCAGTAGAGGTCCACACTGTGCTGACCTGTTTGTCTGTAGAAAGCAATGTGTTGTCTGTTGCCAAAAATGTGCACATTGTATATGTGTAGCTGATCACATACTCACTATTCCTGTACTGTAAAAATAAGGCGTTTGTCTTATACTCACCCTAATTCTATTTGTTAATGCCTCTAATCTCCTTGTGTTATCTTAATATCTTATCTTCTGGCTTGTTGCTTACTAAGGCTCTGCTAACTCTCCCTCTGAAATAGTAATACGCTCTCTGGTGACTGACTTAACTAATGCTGCTGTGAGACACAAGTTGCTACTTGTTTGTGGATTATGGAGCACTTACTAACCACCATGCATAAGAACTGAGGACAGACTCGCTGACAAGTAGACGGGCAGGCAGATTTAGACAGACACTCTCTTTTTTTTATCATTGACACTATTATCCGTATCTTACTTTATTCTGACCCCATTTTTCTCTTCGCAAACCTTTCACTCTCTAACTTGACACCAGGTCTTCCACCTGTTCATCTCAATTTCATCACACTGTTTCTTCTCTCTATTCATGTGAATGCTGTACTGCAGGGGTGCCTGAGGAGGAAAGGCAGTACCTGCATCCTCCAGCCATGAAGTTTGCTCGCAGTCTGTCAGTGCCCGGCCCAGACGACATCCCCCCACCGCCCACCACAGCTCCACCGGATCCCCCGTTTTCCTCTGCGCCACCACTCGGTTGGAGAACTAAGACGTCGCAGCAGCCCTCTGTCTCCGTGTCCCAGTCCACAGCCACATCTTCGCACTACCAGCCCTTCTCCCAATCGGTGCACTTCACACATGGGGGCAGGGAGAGGGCTGGTGGTGCCAACACAGGCCCCGGGGGTGGAGCAGCCGACCACACGGTCCCATATGCACACGCAGCAGCCCACACTGCTCAAAGCAGGACTGCTTCGCGGAAGGTTGCCTATACTGGGGAGCCTGTTGGAGCTGGCATAGGGGCAGGTGGAGGGGCCAAGGCCGCAGGTCTCAGGAGAGGCTATAGCACCGCTGTCCCTCCATCCAGCATTGCCACTGTGATGCCCCAGCAACAACAGACCACCCAGAGTCAACCCCAGCGAGCAGACCGCAGTGCAGCAGGGGCTGGAGCAGGGGGTCCCAAAGGAGGGGCCCGAAGAGGTAAGGGCCCCCTGGTAAAGCAATCTAAGGTAGAGGACCTTCGCTTGACCCAGGGCACACTAGGGGGCAAAGGCTCGGTCGAGAAAAGCTCCATCCCCATCCCCACTATTATCGTCAAGGCCCCTTCGACCAGCAGCAGTGGACGCAGCAGTCAGGGGAGCAGTGTGGAGGCAGACGCTCCTGCATCAGGAGAGGCAGAAGAATCCAAAACACCCCACGGTCCGCCTCCCTCGACTCCTGCTCCTCAGCCTCCTGCACCGCCTTCCATCCCGGCACCACCACCTCCTTCATTGCCTTCTATGCGAGCCCAAGAAAACCTGGATTTCACCAGCCAGTTTGGGGCCGCGATCGTCGGTGCGGCGCGCCGAGACAGGGAGCGGTTTCACGAAGCCCGCCGGAAGAGTGCCTCCTTGTTCATGTCCGCTGAGGAGGACGTGACGATCGGTGGATTGAGTGATGGGCTAGGGGGAGTCAGCAGGACTCAGGTGTCACAGCAGCAACTTAGCACGGGGACTGAGAGTTCATCCATACGGCTGCGCCCGTCCAAGTCTATTGATGAGGGCATGTTCTCTGGGGACACCTATATCCATCACACCCGCAGTATGCCACCAGCCTTTGGACTACCTGAGTATTCCTCAGCTGCCGTGGATTATCAGCCCAAGTCTGTGCCCACTGACTTGTACACCTCAGGCAGACAGCCAGCTCCCTCCACTACCACCACCTTCATTCACCCTTTGACAGGAAAGGCCCTTGACCCCACATCCCCACTTGGCCTGGCCCTGGCTGCCAGAGAGCGAGCTCTGAGAGATGACAGCAGGTTAAGGAGGGGAGCAGAGCACCACTTCACCCGCCAGATGTCCAGTGTCGTGTTTCCTTCATCTACTGCCACCGCTCAGCCCGTATCGTCCTCAGCTCAGTCCTCCAGCTCCTCCTACCTGGTCACCTCGTCTTCTCTGGCTGCCACCACGCCCACCGTTGGCCGCCCACCGTCACCGAGAATCCTCCGAGGAGTCGTGTGGAACGAGGAAGGTGGTGGCGGTGGAGAGAGGGAGCGGGAAGGAGGAGGGGCTCGGGAGGGGCTCAGGGTTCGCTTTTCCGAGGACAAAACCGTCCACACGCACCACTACCAGTCTCAGCCATATCAGCCGACCTACAAGGAGAGGGAGCGGGAGAGGTCGAGGGAGCGGGAGAGGGATCTGTCGAGAGAAAGAGAGAGGGACAAAGAGAGGGAGGGGTACATGAGGAGGGCAGAGCAGGCTGCTGCTGATAGCTCTGCCCAGCAGGCAGCCCAGTCTCAGCAGCCTCGGAGGCCCACTTTTCTCAGGATGGAAAGTCAATCTGATGCCTATATCTTGTCTCTCACCCCTCCCTCCCCTCCACCTACCAGTACTCAGCAGACGAACACTACTGGGAGCTCCGGGACAGGCATGATGGTTCTTCCTCCCCCCGGCCCCTTCAGTTGATGCCGATGACGAGTTTGTTTACGCGGACCCCCTCCCACCTCCGTTAGAGTTTGCGAACAGCTTCGACAGGGGAGTATCAGGGTACTCACAGCGTGCGATGCTTGCCAACAGTCTGACCTCCCGCCAACAGCAGGTCCCACCTCCGCCCCCTCCTCCCCCTCCGCCGCCACCTCCCCCTCCTCCTCAGAAAGACACATTTATAGGTGGGTTTCCCGCTCACACGCCCCTGCCCTCTCCGCAGGCTGGGGACTCCACCGCCTCCAGCCTCACTTCGTACGACAGCGAGGTGGCTAACCTGACTCAGTCTGCCCCGTCTCCCTCCCAAACGTCTCCCAACCCCCAACCCTCTCACTCTCCCTCTATGCTGCAGCCCACCTCCACATCTGGACCTCCACCTCCCCCGTCGGTCTCACCACCGCCCCCTCCCGGATATCATAGACCCTTCTCTATGTCGCACCCCCATCACCTTTACAACAGCTCTCACACTTCTGGGCGCTCTTCCCCGACGCCTCCCCCACACACGGTTGCCCCTCCCCCGGCGTACCGTGGCTCCCACGTGCCCTCTTCCACCGCTGCCACCTCTGCTCCGATTAGGGGGGCACTGCCTCACACGCCACGACCGCTAGCTGTGCCGCCACAACCACCGCCGCTGCCACCACAACAAGCACCTCCACTCAGCTCTATCATGAGCGAACGCACACCGCACATACTCCATCCTCCGCCGCCATCACAGGCAGTCGTAGGACAGGGGAGCACCACCGTCCTCCCCCCTCCACCAAGAAAGGAGAGTCCCAGGAGACAGTGGTGGACTCTGGGATCGAAGAGCTGGACAGTCGGAGCAGCAGCGACCACCACCTGGACAGCATCCTGGCTGGTGTCAGGGGGGACAGGCCTGACCGGGGGGAGAGAGGAGGCGGACGCATGGGAAGTGGGGCGGGGGAATCTGAAAGGGGGGGAGATTTTCTGGAGTCCTACATGAGCTACCTAGACGGACAGACTTTTGAGATGCAGAACGCTACAGCAGCAGCCTCCACCTACCCGAAAAGCAACAGGTTTAGAGAGGGAAGTCGCACAAGTGACTTCCACAGACAGACTAGCACCGCTCCGGCATCCTTCCACTCCCACAGACGGAGGGAGGAGCAGGAGGACGATGAGATCGAGGAGGGAGTGACGGAGGATGAAAGCGGCCATGATGGGTATGGGGTTAGGGACATGCAGAATTTGGGACGTCCCATTTCGCCTTACTTTGACCGCCCACGCACTCCTGAGATGAAGCCTATGTGGGATGAGGGGAATATGAGCGGGGACGGCGGCCAGTCAGGGACAGTTATGGGGGGGGAAGAAGATTTATCCTCCCGCATCCAGTATGAAGCCGAGCATCATAAATGAGCTGAACAACAAACTGCAGCAAAGAACCAAGGACAGCTGGAGCAGCCAGAGAACACTGGGCAGGCACAGGTAGTCATGAAAACTGGTCTCTGTCACAGCATGATCAACATGTTTGTGTTATTTTTGATGCATGGCATTGTCGTCCTTAGTATCAGAGTGCCACCTGTGAAGTCTTCATTCACAATGAATGTTTTGTGGGGAACTATGTTCCATCTTTATGTCTTGTGTAAGTGTTGTCTATACTCTGTAAACCTTTGCTCTTTTATTTCTCTGGCTTTTTCCACGTGTTTCTCTCAGAAGCAGAAACAGGTAATAGAGCCACTTCCACACTTGTCTTTTTTTTCTTCTGTCAGGAAGAACATAAAACTGACACCTTGTGTAATTCACAGCCTGTTCCTAAAGTGTTAAGAGGAGAGGAAACCTAGAACATTTAGAATTAATTTGTATTTACTGAGGAGACACGACAAACATGTGACATTAGAATCAATTTAATATACTGGGAGTTGTTCAAAAGTGAACTGATATGATTTAAGGTATTACAATTGATCAAGTCTTCAAAAATTGCTTGTTCAAAATGAGAAAGAGTCATTTGAAATAGGATATGTACTCATTATCCAGTTTGGATTTAACTGGTATTAAACCATCACTTATAACCACCAAATTATCACCCAGGCCCCAGTTTAATGGTGCTCTAAGGGAGACAGTAACACCTTCTGTTTCTTTCAAAAGATGAAAGATTTCTATCCTTCTTTATACTTCAAACATTTCTTATATTTTTTGCTTATTGGTGTTACAACTTTAGGCATTAAGAAGACAGCATAGACATTTTATTGTTAGCTTAACTGTTTTCTGTACCATTAAATTCAAACACATGAAGTAGGATGGCTACCCTTCATTGTGATATCTAGTCCCATCAAGAGCACCTGTAATCTCAGTTTGGTAATCTAGAAAAGATTCTGGAGAAGGGTGATTCACTCTGGTGTTTCATTGAAAAACAACAGCACTTATCTAAAATTGATAACCTAAAACTGGTTTAAAAAAAAAAAAAAGGATTTCCAAATCATTTCAGTTCCAGGTTAAAATTCTCTGAATGTGTGCATGTTTTTAATTTACTGTTTTCTGTAACGATTTTCTTGTCTAACCTATTTTTCTCCCTTTTCATTCACAGATTTTCAGAAGACTCCGCCTCAGCTCTGAGCCCCCCCTCAGTTCGTTCTCAGTCACCATCTCCGATCTCTTTATCCCAGCCCTCGTTATCCCCGTCCCCGACCCCCGCCTCCCAGTATCCAATCTGGGGACGATCTCCGTCTCCTCAGCCTCCAGCTTCCTCTCAGCCTCCCCGTTCCCATTCCCCACTGTCTCCCACAACTTATTCCCCTTACCCCACTTCCCCCAAACACAGACCCGTCTACCGGACCAAAGCCCTGGAATTCCAATTCATCCCCAGTCGAGAGTCCCGTAAAGCAGAATCACACATACTGCAGCGTAGGCGAGCACCCAGCCCCCTGATCTCCCCTTCAGAGAGGCCCAAGCTGGGTCCACCGCGGCCATCGTCCCTCCCACTCCTCCCCACCACACCCTTATACAGTGCCCTCTACGACCTCCGAGGTTCAATCACTCCACCCTCACCCGGGAACCCCCTCGGCGATCCTTACTTCTCGCCCTCTCCTCCCCTGTTCGCCCCCTCTGGTGCCCCTCCTCCTCCAAACGCCGCATTACTTATGTCTCGGTCCCTCTCTCCAACTCACTTCTTATCTGGGACCTCTTCACCGCCCCTGCATCCCTGCCCTCCACCTACCTGCCTGAGTTACCCCCATTTACCTCCCCCTTCCCCTACAAAGCCTTTTGCCTCCAAGCCACTGCCCTACTGGACCAAGTATGACGTCGCTGACTGGCTAGGATACCTGAACCTGGGCGAGCACAGAGAGCGTTTCCTGGACAATGAGATCGATGGCACCCATCTGCCCTCTCTAACTAAGGATGACTATCTGGATTTGGGTGTGACGCGTGTAGGCCATCGCATGAACATTGAGCGGGCCCTGAGAAGTGTAATGGACAGGTATGGCTTCAGATAAAGAGGCTGCAGAGAAACACAAATGACCACGGCAAGTGTTCTGTTGGATTTTTTTAGAATCAAACACGTAAAGATCCATGATACAAACATGTATGTAAACGATAGCTTCAGATTTAGATATACAGCACTGCTCTCCATGACTTTCTACTTTCTTGCCCCCTTTCTTCACCTGGCACAGGTTAACATAGAGTGCTTAATATATTATAATAATATAATTGGTGCTTTAAAGCCCAATAAGGATGAATCAAAATGTGTAGTTGCAATTGGATTGAATGTAGATGCAGCAAATATCTAATTTACCATAAAATTGTGTGATGTTAGAGGTTGAACCTAAAATAAATATGAGTAAAAACGAGAGCCCGACCGATTAATCAGCCAGCCGATATTACCGGCCAACAAGGTAAAGGTTTGATTGGTTAACCACTCCCTCCCTTTTGGCGAGAATATTTCTCCTCATAATCTGCCCTTCTCTTTTACACATCAGAAGCTCTGTGTGCAGTGGAAGAACAGCGCCCTCTGCCTGTTTTGTGCTGTAAAGCATTTCAGTAATTTTCAACATTTATGACAAAAAGTATCACACCTGAGAAAAACCCACCTGTAAGCTTGTCATGACAGTTATTGCAGTGTTATTAGAGTCTAACTGAACAACTTAAAACTATGTTATAAAACCACAAATACCACTCATCATCCACCCACTAAAAAACTGACTTGTGTCCTGTTTTCGTTTTTGTCCTCAGGCTGTCCAGCAGCCCATTTCCCATTTCTGTCCTCTCACCCCGGGAGGGACAGACTGAGAGGAGGAGGGACGACGGGAGCCGAAGCTGAAGTTGCAAAATACCGAGCCACAAACTAGAGAGCGAAATAAAGAGAGAGAAGGAGGGTTTGGAGTCAATGAGGGAGGAAGACACAACTGCTGGTATTCATGGTGGATTCACACAACAAATGAGGGGGGAACAGATTTCACACTGAGGAGGGAGTCAGGGTCCAAAGGGGAATGGAAACAAGTCAAAATTGGGTGGACGATCCATACACACACTGGCTTGCCCTCCCTAGTTGTGGCGGGCTGATTTACACACTCCCAACATGTGTGTATGGCCACACCAACCAACAAAGACGCACACTTTCATCCAAAATGAGAAAACCTTGGCTACAGCAGAAACCCTGAGCGAAGGCTGGCGATAAAACCGAACCAAATACTTCAGAGGAACAATCGAAAGCCACTTCATTCCCCCCCCTTTTTTTTTTTTTTTTTTTTTTTTTAAGGTAAAGCTGGTTGTGTTGTTGGGAGAACTGGAGCAGATAAGGTTCATCGTGGTGCCATCGTTTTTAGTCATCCTCTGTCCCCTCAGCTCGCCGGTTAAATCTGTTCAGGTTCAAGGCATGGAATTTTACGAAGAAGAAAAAAAGAACGCAATCAATGAGAAACCCTCCTCGTATGAGTGGATTTTTTGTTTTACAAATGCTTGAGAGAATATCAAAGAATGAATGTCTGCAGGAAGTGGGGCTTTTTTTCTGTCTGCGTGTGTGGTGAACATAGAACGACACATCGTGGCGGCCTCCTCGTCTGTTCGAGTGGTCAGCACAGGTAGATAACTCGTGTCCTAATGTGTCTGGCTTCGATTGGTTAGGTCTTGTTTTTACCTCACCACTGGCAGGGCTCTGTCCTCACTGCAGGTCCTTATGTGCGTCTCTATAGCTCTTTATCATCTTAAGTCTTATAATGACAGACTATATACAGACTGGTCACTGTATCACAAATTTGTAGCAAAAATAAGTGCCCAGACCAACAAAAAGAAAAACAACAAAAAGAAACACACCCACACACAGGCACCTGAGTTACTCCTATACATGCCTGCATGCATACACCAACATGTAGACACACACATATACACACAAGCACTCACAAGTGGTTGTGTTAAGAGTTTATGGGACACCTTATATATAAACACACACTTTATATTCGGATCTAAGATACACAAAAAGGAGACGGACTGTGCTTTCAACTGTTAAGACGGGATACGCGAGAAATGTGCAAAAGGAAATCTCCCTGAGGATTTGACCCACCGAGAAAGACTTCCTCAGCGTCAAGGCAACTGTTGTTCGCCCGCTCAGACCTTTCGCTTTTTGGAGGGAGACTGAAATTAAGGAGAGGGGACGGGAAGAGGAAAAACTGCCATTTTCTTGCTCTTTCCCACCCAATCCCCCCCTCTCACTCTCGACTCAATCCTGGAGGAAAAAAAAAAAAACCCGGCCAAGAGGGGGACCTGAGAGAAACGCTTCTATCAAGTTTTAATACTCTGATTCTTCTTACAATTTTTAAAACTTTAAATGGGAATACTGGAATATTGATATGAAAAGAATCTATTGTTACTATTTCTCATTACTATCATCGTCCTTAATGTTATTATAGAGAGTTCCCTGGCACTCTCATGCAGTCTTTTCTGACTGTCTAGTGAGGATAATCGGATATAAATAAAGAAATATATATGTATATGTAGGTATTTTTGAATCGAAAGATGCATTTGATTTTGTGCACTGTACCCTTATCATAGCTTCTTCCTGTCAAGAAGTATTGCAACTCTTAATGTGAAGCACATTTCTTATTCTGCCTTCTACTCCGTTTTCCTTTTGGTCAGACCTACAAGCTTTAATCAAAATATCAGCCTCAAATTATGATTTCATCACAACTTTAAAAGTGATTTTGTTACATGCGAATGCTTAAAATGTAGCCCACAATAAAGGCAAGTAAATAATCTATTTTTCAAACGAATACATTTCAAAAAGACTCTATTTAATACCGGATAAAAGCCCTCTTTGATCGCTTGCTTGCTCACACTGATCTCCTTTTCATTTCCCTGTCATTTTTCACTGCACACTTCCATCCCATGACAAGCTCAGTCCTGCTTTTCTCACTGTTGCTGAGATCAAATCTAAAGGGCTCTCTTCATGACCTCTCTACCTTGAACAACACTTCACCTCTCCTGCTGCTTCCAAGTCCTCCAAACACATATCAAGCGTGCGTTTTTTTTAACATCAAGTTCACTCTCCTTCCTGCCTGGCTAAACTCAATTTCTTTCTTTGAGGAGATAAATTAGTTTCCATAGATCATGTTGCTTAAAGTGCACACACACACACACACAGATACATATATAAAGGCTACTTTGGTAAAAGCTCATTCAAAGGGATTTGTCTCGTGGGTTGATTTTATGTCGAGAGATTATATTTGAATGCAAGAGAAATAGCAATAAGGACGATGAAAATAATGGTCATCTAATTATGGTTTAAGATGTATAAAAAAAAAGTCTCAAAAGTTCTAAAGAATCTCTGTCTTCCAAATAATGTTTAACATGAAGAAGGTACAATGTATTTATTTAATTGTTCTGCTTTCTATACAGTTGGACCTGTTCTCTGCACCACCTGATCCTTCCTATCGTTAACGGGCTTACAGGATTCATTCATTGAAGCTTCTTGTGTGTGCAGAGCGCCCCCTGCAGGCTCATTGTTTATGACAAGCATCTTATGCAATGTCCCTTTTTACATTAGCAACTACGGCTTCTCACGCTTCCCTTTAGAGATTATAAAGAAGCCAAAGAGGTTCGGGTTTTTTTGTTGTTGTTGAACAAGTGAACAAGCAGAATCCGCAACCAGATTCGTCTTGTTTTTAATCAGGGCTCTACAAAGATGCTAGTGTAAAAAGGGCCGTTTAAAACATTACCATAACATCTAGTGCGGATACAATAATTTCCTCGTCAAGTGACCCGTAAGGGATTTTAAGTCTTTCTTTGCATTTACAAATTATAAATCCGAGTGAGCGCTCATCGTCGCCGTCAGTAGAAAAGATCTTTGGGAACTGGTCGCACTCTATAGAAAGCATTTATTTTCCTTTAAGAGATCTTTTAAAAAAATGAGAATATAAACTGATGAAAGGTCAATTACAGAATATATATGTATATGTGATGAGCATATACACATTCATATAAACATATGAATTTCAAATGTTTTAAGAGATAATACATTGTTAGAATTATAATAAAGATACAGAAACTAAGTTGTAATTCATGCATTCTGACTTCTTGAATTTACAGGTTTACAATGTATGTTTTTCCTGACATATCAGATTCTTTGTCCAGCCCGAATGACATGCACTCAGTGAGAAGGTATCGTGCAGTAGCATTGAGGGAGTCCAATGGATTATGTAGCATTTCAAATCTATGAATGATAGCTGTTAGTAATGCTTCAGTTTGTACATTTGTACTGAAGTTTGCTTAGGCATTTTGAAGTGGGTGTGAGGAACAAGAAAGTGGTGATTTTATATACAAGACAGACTTACAAATACATTCATCTCTTATTAACCCATCAAACTAATGACAGGACAGTAAAGCTCGGTCTTTAAACCGTCACAAAAGGACTGTGACATTTTCTAATTCAACATTAAACTTTCCACTATTTCTTACTACACAGAAATATGAGAAACTTTCTTCTCATAATGCATGTGGTCTCATTCAGATTTTAAAGTAATCCGAGCGTTAGTATGTCCATGAACAAACCACTAGATTTATAAACTCGAAAGACAGGCAACAAGACATTCAATTAAAAAAAATAAAATAAAAAATTCTTAGACAACGTATAGGAAATCAATTACTTTATTGATTATTCAGAGTTAAAACAGAAACATAGCATGCTATAGCGCAGATTTCGTCTGTCGAAGCACCATTACCTGAAGAAAGAAAGAGAACAGTAATCAGAAAAACTGTTGAAGAAATCTGCATAATAGAAGTGAAGTATACGATTCTCTTTTCAGACTCTGCCATGTCAGGAGCAGAGCTGCACTTTTCTCACCACTGATATTCTGAGCCCAGTGCAAAACATCACAAGAGAGCATGTATTTTAGTGTGTCGTAGAAGTGTAACAAACCTTTTCAAGTCCAGTACAGGAGTTGCTTCACTTTCCCCCCACCATAAAACACCTTAAAAAACAAAAACAGAAGATTTCATCAGCATCTTTTCATCATGTCAGTGTCAGATCAGCACCAACAGCCAATGAATGAACAGCTCAACTTCTCCTCAGAAACTCTGGCTTGTCAGGGCCAAAGGTGCACGTTTATCTCCACTCACAGTCAGAGCCCAGTGCAAGTCATCAGGGGAGAGAGAGGGGAGGCTGTGTACACTATCACATTAAGAGTTTGACGGTAGTCACTGTGGTCATGAGCGTCACTGGATTGCTGCAACATCAAATATCTGATTCATATAAACCCATTTCCACGTTTGCCCAAAAATGTAAGCTTAAAAGTCAAGTGTCTCAAGTGCTAGTGTGACCTAATCTCCAGATCCACTTCTTTGAGTTTAAAACCTCTTGTTTTGCATTATAGGTACACTTTTATCTCCCAAATTTTTTTTTTTTTTTTTAAGAAGGTGTTCACTTCAAAAAAAAAAAAAAAAAAAAAAGTGAAAAGTCTGAGTTGCTGTTAAGATTATAAATCTGATTCTAAGGATGCACAAGTCCAAAACATACCTTTCTAACCAATTCGGTGTTCAGTCATGGATGCTTCACTTCTTCTGCGTCACCTGAAAAAGGACAAAACTTTAGTTAATGTGTTGTCAAGGCAACCACATGGTAACCACCGCGCCACTGTCTTCTCCTCAGATACTCTGGCTTGTCAGGGCCAAAAGGTGCACGTTTATCTCCACAAAAAAATGTAAGAGCCCAGTGCAAGTCATCAGGGGAGAGGACGGCTACACTTAACACGGTTTGGACAGATCATCTTATCTACAGCAACGAACTGCTTTACTGTAGCCTGGTTTATGACACCGACGGCTAACACGTTAGGCTAACCACGTGTTCATGGCCCAAGTTTTGCAGTTTCATGTGGCGAGTTAACTAAACGTGTATGATATGGTAAACTGAAGAAATAGCCAACAACAAAATCCAATTAAAAAAAAACAAAAAGTCTTACTTTAATGTTGTTTGAGCAACATTGCGAAATTAATCATTTTGAGGGAGAACAAGTTCGAGCTACATCCACATGTCACTGTGTTAAGTTCAGCTCAAAATCCATCCAGAGACAACTTACATTTCCATAAACGAGACAAATAATGCAAGTTGCAAGGTTTTAAAAGTGAGTCGAGGACATAAAACATCTTCAGAGTTTATCCTCTACTGTATATATTATCGTATTCATGCAGAAAACAGAAAGGCAGTGTGTTATTAGGCTACACTTTACGTTTCAGTAATCACACAGCAACCTTGTTAAACTTTATAAATCTACAGACTTGCGGTATTTGTCGAGTTTTCTTACCGATCCCACAGTCGATGATCTTCTGGAGGTAGGCAGCGTCCAAATGACTTACGCGGGCTTGCTCCCTCGTTTTTAAATGGTGGCGGCCGGCAGACAACTTGTAACTGAATTCCTCCCCCTGGTGGACTGGAGTAAAATTAAGATTTACTTTTATTGATCCCCGCAAGGGGAAATTCTGTTTTTTACACTCTTTTAAGTCATGCGCCACACACACATAGGCTGAAATATACACACATGAAAAGGTAATTAGTAGTTATGTAGCAGTACAACTCCAAAGTAGATGTGCACAAATAAACTAAAATCATGACACAATTATAGTTTATTCAAAGTTCTGCAGATAGTACTTTGTAAAAAATATATTTTTCCTCACTCGATAATATTAGGCTACTTGTTCAGCTGCCTCTAATTAAAAAGGTTCTCATTAAGAAAAATACTCTTGTTGGTCAATTTTGACAGCAATGTATCACATGTTTTGTTTTAGTGCAGTAGCTACTCAGCACTGTTTCCAGTGACAATTTCAAATTCAAAGGCAGTTTTATATGTGAACACTAGAGGGAAGCAAAGACATGGCTTGAACTGCTTCTAGCAAATTTTTTTTTTTTTACAAAATTATATTAAAAAAAAGAAACAAGTGTATAAACATCATGCTTACAAGATAAATTAAGTGAGACATGAAACAGAAAAGTTGACAGAGTATTTATTATTAAACTGGATGTTTTGAGCTCTGATGTACCAATGCTTCAATAATGAATCATTTGAGCAAAGTAAATATATCACACATACCAAGAAATGATGCTGCTGTCTTTACATATGGACTATAAAATCTGCTAAAAGATTTGGAAGCAACTCTGTTTCTAAATATATTTTCAATTTAACAAAATACAAAAGATGAAACTGAAGAGTGTACTTTCACACGTTGTGACTCATTGACAGATGCGATACTGGTGGAGGGAGCATTTACAGCAATTCATGTAAAAAGTACTACACTACGAGTACTCACAAGTATGTAACGTTCAGAAAATGTGTTTGAAAGTATTACAAGTACAAGTACACAATGCAGAAAATGACCTTTACAACAGAGTTAATCACCTAACATGGATCTTCCCCCCCACCTGTTAGTGTCTTCTGTCTATCATTATTCTAATATCTCACAGTGTTATCATGATATCATACTATCCAGCCAGGTTTGATGACAGGATCACTGCTACAGGATGACTATATGCTCAGAGCAGCTTGTATCTGGGCGTAAACATTTCAGTGTACAACAGCTGTGTGTTTACATGGCATGTCGTGGCAAGACTTTCGCAAGTTCAGCATAGCATGAAGCAAGAGTGGGAACAAGTCTTCTTCAGGGGACTTTGACTTCAAAGAATCTCTGCTTTTAAACACACACACACACACACACACACACACACACCGGATGTATCCTCCAGCTGTGGAGGCAGGCCTACCAAATGATCCCGAGGGAACGTGGAGTGGAGGAAAGAGGGGGTATAAAAACAAGCTCAGAGGGATGCAGTTTCCCTTATCTGGTCATGCTGCTTTGTGCGTCTTTGTCAAAGAGTAAAACACGGTTAATGGACTAATTAACTCACAAACATATATACATACGTATATACACACACTCTGGATGAGTGACTCAGCTTTAGTCAGACTCACCTAGAAAAAAAAAAACACTGGCCAACTTCATTGACACTTCTTTGAGGGAGAGGAGAGCAGGGTGATTAAGGGAAGGAAAAAAGGGAGAAAAAAAGTAACAAGTGGTGCAATACAAAGAACAAGAGAAGAAGAAGAAGTCCCCTGCAGCTGTTTTGGAGGGAGAGAGAGGGAAAGAGAGGGAGGGAGGAAGAGGAGGGTGAGAAGGAGGGAGGAAAAAAAAAAAAGAAGCCAACTCATCTGACACAAACAGTGGGCCAAAGAAAGGGGAAGAGCAGGAGCAGCACTGTCCACAGCGAGTGGAAAATCAAATTTGGAGAAGTACAAAGAAGACAACACGTAGAGGAAAAAGAGCCTGAAAGTCTGTAAGAAGATTCAACTAAGGAAAAACAAAGTTTGACCTGTCGAACGAGAAGAAAAAGGGGGTTGAAGCAAGAGGGCCCCAACTTTTAGAGAGGTAAGGCTCTGCAAGCTGCTTGTTAGTCCTTCAGTGGCACGTCACAGTGATCTAAAGGAGTGATCAAGCTCCTATTTCTGCTCTGTGTGTTCATTTGTTACTATATATTTCCTCTATGCAATGTGTGTGCGTGGGGAGTTATGTGTGACAGATGAAACGAGGACAGGGGGAGGAGTGAGCGTGCATGCCAGGGTGGGAGCGGGATACTGGGGTGAAAGAGTTGCTTGGTTGGAAGCTCTTTTGACCAAACTGCGCTTCACTTTTCTCCAGTTTCCAGAACGTTTTTACATGTTAAGACAGAGATTTAGATTGGAAAGGACTGGAAGTAGAACGCTTGAGGACTTCTGAAAACTGGTGGAACTAATTTCCTGTCTGAGCTGCCAGGAGGTCATAAAAAGTCTGGAGGACTCATGGTGGAATTAGATCTGTGCTGGTAGGTGGTAAGATATAGTACAGTATGCTCTGTGGTGGACTCGTTTGATTGTAACTTTAACCTCAACTGAAATGTTTGAAAATCAACATATACAGCCAAAACATCACAGAGGGCGCAGAAAACCATTTGAAAGTTTGACTCAGGCTTTTATTATAACAATTTCATTGTCAAATTAAGAGTACGGCAAAATCGAGGCCAAATCCAGCTGTTTAGAAAGAGTTTCAATTGATTATAAAGTCTATGAAATCAATTTCAAAAGCCTACAGGGCCATATGCACGCCAGCAGATAAGGAGGTTACAGCAAACTTTTTCTTGATACAGCATAAACTACAGCATAATGCTGAAAATAGAGCAGAACATCCTATAGAGGCATGCAAGTAGAGCACACAGCTAAGATAGTAGATCCAAGGTTGGCGATTTTACTAACAGGGTAAATATTGAATACGATTTGGGCTGGTTTAATTGTGTTAAAACATTGGAGATAACTAAGTTAAACTTGCAAAATGTACTGAATTATCTTAGTTAAGGGCATGGACAACAGATCTCCCCAACCTCACAGTAACAAGACAACTATATGACAGAGATCTACCCAGCGAGAAAGACAACCAGCAATGGGACAGGAAGTCGAGGTCAAAGGTTGAAGGGGCGGCTGTTCATTATTTTTTCCCAACCCTTGCAGACCTCAGGGTTGTGTGATCTGTCAGACGGAAGGCGCAGGCAGAGGAGAGAGGCATGTCATTATGCTCTCTGAGAAGCATGTGATGCCCCGTGAACAGCAGCCGAGAGGGAAATCATTGAATCTAATTGTGTGAGTCAAGCAAGCGATGGCGGCAGGGAGGAAAAAACTAGGCAGATATGAAGGCTGAGTCTGGGTCGAGTTCAACTTTGGGTGCAACAAGGATTTAGACATAGCAGAAGGCAAAGCTGCTGGATGCTTACATATTTAACTGGAAATGTTTCTGTTTTGAAAGAGGAACCAAATGAGCATAAAGTAATGTAAAAAAAGAATGGACACCTGCTGAACTAGATCACTTGGTTTCGAGTAAGAAACAGCATTTAACATATTTCTATCACCTCTATGCCTCTTGTTTGGAAGAGCTAATGAGCTTGAGTGCCTGTGTTCCTTTTAATTATAACATGAAGGCAGACAAGGCCATCAACATTGGATGAAAAGTGAGTGCAAACGATAGGATGTGTCGACCTTTACCCTCAGTTTATTTTAGGATAGCTCATGTTTCAAAACTGGGATTGCTGGGAGTAGATACGCCATGCTTACTGATGTTACAGCATGAGAGACGCTGCCCAGGTTTACAGTACACCACCTGGTTCAGATTTACTGTACACGTCAACCTACAACAGCAACTGTGGCTCCCTAATGGGTTTACAGGGCAGCCATTATACGATTCAGACACCGACACATTACACGTGCAGTATATCTTCACATAAGTGCTTATGAGAGTGTGTCAGTGATTTACTTCAGGGGATATTGAACGCTATCATTTCAGAGACCCTCCAGTATAAGAGCAATGATTCCCATCCAGAGACCCAGGGGTTACTTGATAGCCAATGGATACGTGAAGATTATAAAAGTAATACAAATAATAATTTGAATGAAAATGTCCAGATTTGGTCTCAGCTGTCACACCTCAATACTAAAAATGCTCTAAAAGCCAGCCGAGAAGCAACAGTTAGCAAAAGTAATGGTTAGCCTACATTGATAAAATACATACAGCTAAAAAAGTTAGCTGAAAAAGTTAGCGATAACTAGATTAAGCAGTTGAAATATTTTGCTAAATCTACAGTCAAAGATGAACTATATAGCTTAAAGTAGGTAATTGTTGAGCTTAAACTTGACTAAGCAGTGGATTAAGCTAAAAGTCGAAACAACGTTGGAAATAGCTAAATCTGAAATGGTTAGCTTGAAATTGAACAAAACCAGTTGAAAGTTTTGTGAAATGAGTAGGTTTGAAGTTATTGATAACCTTTTGAAATGATTAGTTATAAGATCATTAGCTAACTGCAAAAATAATGCAAAACCTTTTGAAATAACCTTAAAAAATGTTTAAATAGTTATCCTATGATTGATTTAACATTTGAAAATTAGCTTTTAAAATGGTAAAAAATGAGGAATAACCAGTCGAGATGTTTAACTAAAAAAAAGTCTAATTGATAACAGTTGAAATCTTTAACTGAAAGTGGATTATGAAAGGAAGTAGGCAAAGAATAAGTAAGAGTAGGCAAAGCTAGTACAAGGAATTGTAACCTTAAAGTGATGGATGAATAACAGTGGTCCAAAAGTTATAAATCTGACACTTCTTAATGTGTAAAAGGCTGCTATGCATCAATTTACAAAAAATGAATACATTATAATTTTACAAATAATTACACACTGTTTTCTTCAAATATGAGCGCATGTGTTCTTCAGACAAGCTGCAGAGCATGTCAACAAAAAGGAGAGGATGTGATCCCTCCTGACTCCCAAATGGATCTTTGCATGAAAATGGATGAAGTATTTGTG